GGCTTAGGTCGAATTGTGAGGATTTTTGTTGCAGTGTCATCATCCATTCTGATTCTCATCAGTACGTATTTCAAGTCTTTGCTTTAGCAAGCAAGGTGTTAATAAATGCAGATTGAGTCTTTCTCTAATCGAGATGCTGCATTCTTCTTCCTGTGGTCCATTTTCTCCAGTTATTTGCTTGGCATACAGATGGAATAACTATGGTGAGAGGATATGAACTTCATATACACCTTTCCTGATTCTAAACCATACCACATTGTTCCGTTCAAATGACCATCTTTTAGTCTCTGTACTGGTTCTGCATAGCACAGTTCAGTGTTCTGGAATTCCCATTCTTTTTGTAGTTAATAAATCACAGGTAAATATTTTTCTTTGCTGTCAGCCAAGATCCATGTGACTTCAACAATGTTCATTTTTGTATGTTCTCTTGTGAATCTGACTTGAATTTCTGGCAATTCCCAGCTCGTGTATTGCTTCAACCATTTAAAATTTTTCTTCAGTAAAATTTTACTTGTGTGTGATGTTAAAATCATTCAGTAATTTCCACATTCTGTTGGATCATCATATTTTTTTGGAGTGGGCACAAATACGAATCTCTTCCAGTCAATTGGCCAAGTAACTGTCTTCCAAATTTCTTGGCATAAATAAGTGAATATTTCCAGTGTTGCATCTGTTTATTGAAATATCTCAATTGGCATTCCATCAATTCCTAAAGCTTTGTTTTTCATTAATGCCGTAAATGCAGCTTGAACTTCCTTCTTCAATACAATAGGTTCTTGATTATATGCTGTGGATGCAAAAGGTTTTTTCCCAGGTTTTCTCCCCGAAATATATGCCAAACCTAGGATGCTGCTTGCGTCACATGGTAAATGTGATTGTACACTTGGAGGTCAACACAAGCTGCTTAAAGGTTAATCTCCCTGAGGATTGTCAGCCATCTAGAGCAATCAGACTATAGTCTGTCCCACCCTAAGTAGGGCCCACTCCCTTCTGATAAATACAGTGGATTGCTTTCCTGAAGGAGAGCCAGAGACAAGGTTGAGCCCACTCAAGGATGACCAAGGCTAGGCTGCCATCTTGAGTCTAGGGTCACCCATCTTGTCACATGTATACTCCTAGTCCCTCCTCTTCCTATTACATGTACACCTCGAGCTCATCCCCTTCCTGTGATGTGTATGCCGATTGTACAGCCCCTTCCTGTGGCATATGTGGTTACTTGTAATCAGGGGGGCTTGCACGTCCCTAAGGATATATAGGCCTTGATCAGAAATAGAGGGGTCTCTCCTCTTCCTACTCTGTGTGGACCTGGCTGATGAGAATATGGCTGTCCTGGAGGTGAGCATGCTACTATAAAATGTGTCTGACTCCTTTATTTTATCTTCTCTCCTACCTCTCCTATCTTCTATGACTTTACTATGATCTTTATATATGATAGCCTTATAATTGCACCTGCAAACCCCACAATATTGTTAGAGGCTGGTTTACACTAACAATATGCTGCTTCCTGAAATGGTTGAATACTGACCAGTTCTTTTTGGTAAAATGACTCATCAGCACATATAATGGTTAGGATTTACAAAACACATTTTTGTTGTTGTTTGTTTCTTTGTTTGATATTTTATTGGAATTTTTTTCCGTGTGGTTTTTAAAAATCATTTTATTGGGGGTCTCTTACAAATCGTACAACAATCCATCATTCATTTGTATTAAACACACTTGTACATATGTTACCATCAACAGTTCCAAAACATTTTCTTTCTAGTTGAGCCCTTGGTATCAGCTCCTCTTTTTTTTCTTCCTCCTTCCCCACTCTCCCACCCTTGTTAATCCTTCATCAATTATATATTACTGTTGTTTTTCATGTCTTATACTGTCCATTGTCTACCTTCACCCACATTTCTGTTATTTGTCTCCCTGCGGGGTGGGGGTGGGGGGAGAGATGGGGCACATTTTTTATGGCCACAATTCAATATGTAACAACTGTACTTTCAGATTGATGTTTTGTATGTATCTTTATTCATCAATAAGGATAAATACACAAAATGTTTTATTATATAGACAATGGGCTGTGGTTGTATGTGCCTAGGTACTGATGAGATTTCTTTACCTCAAATGCTAGTTACACCAATTTCTAGCTTTACAAAAGTAGACTGAACTCTCAGTTTCCTCATATCTAAAACGCATATAATAACAGTACCTGCTTAAGACTATGGTGAGACTTAAGTGAGTTAATACATGCTTAATTTAATGCTTGACAAATTAGCATTAGCCATTGCTTTATAATCTCCTGATAATGGACATTTATGCATATGTTGTTTGATTTTAAAAACATATATTAACAGTACTGCAGCGAACATCTATGCCCCTACATCTTATATTGTGATTATTTTTCCTAAGAAATTTTCTAAAAATTGTATTTCCAGGGCAAAGGCGTAATTCTTTTACTTGTTGAGACTTCTTATTCTTTGCATAATGAGAGCTTCTACCCTGTGCTAGTCCTGCAAATATTGATGTGTCCTTTCTCTCTTTAAATTAAATCACATTTTCCCAAAAGTTTTATTGGCATATAATTCATACAACATTCAATTACATCAGGAAGAGTTGTACCGTCATAGCCACAGTCACTTTAGAACATTTTCTTCATTCTTATACTCATTGTTATTAGATTCCCCATTTACCTCCAGCTTCTCCTGCCATACGCTCAAGAAACCCTTAATGATTAATTACTGTCTCTAAACATTTACCTCTCCTGGATTTCATATACAGGAAAAAAAACACACGAAAAAACAAACAAGCAAAAACGAACAAGATTAACAAAGTAAAACAGATAAAAAACAATGGAAAAGAAAGCAGAAAATATTAAAAACTAGAACAATTTTAAATGAAACATACAAGAGATCAAATGATGAGGTGCTACATTTTAAGCTAACTGCAACAACCCACTTTCCAATTAGCAAGGCTGTTCATATCCCTAGTCCATGATCACAGGGCCTATATCTCTTTTTATTATTAAATGGAAATTTGAACTCGCAGGGAAGGGAGAATTAGGATACCATTTCATGTTCTTCAACTTGCAAGTGCTTCTAAGTTAATCTTCTGAATGTTTTAGCTTGAACACAGCCGTATGGAATCCTGCCCAGGATTTCATTCAACCAAATGACTTAGATCGCTGACCTTGTCCTGTTCACCACAATCCACTAGAAAGTGGTTTCCACCACATGACCCAGTAGCTTAGTGGATGATTTCTGAGGAGTCTTGAGAAAAATATTTAATTGATCACCCTCACCCCGGCATACATTTGGATATTTCTCCTATCCATGTCTAAATTGCTCTTCATGGCAGTATTTGATTGCTGAGTTCCTTGTGTCTAAACCATTGTTGATTTCCCCAAGAGAGCTTAATTCCATTCTCTATATTCCATCTTTGTTTTCTACAACTTTAGTGAAATCTCTACCCTTTCCCTCTGCCTTTTTCCTTAAAAATAACTTACTCTTTGTGATAGTTAAGGTTTATTGTGCTAATCTGGCCGATGAACACATGTGGGGTTAATTGAAGGGCAAAGAGATAAATGGCTCAGTGAGCCTCACCTTTCTAGTTCTCAGGTCTCTTGCTTTGCGATGGTCAGACCAGGGTGCAGCTGACTTAGCCAGTTCCCTGCTTCTGGTGGCAAGGCTCACTTCCTGCAAGACATTCCCAAGGAGAAGCCTCATGGACCTACCCTGATGCAGCCCTGGGTGCTGGAGCAGCCGTGTGGAGACCCCTGTCAGTGCTGAGATGCGTACACACTCACTGATTCTGCTTTCTTCCTGCAGTCAGCATCATTGCATGTGTTTTGTGAGTCTGAAGAGGACTTTGTAGATTGTTGTCGGACATATGGGCTAATGTCGGACTTATGGACTTGGACAGCACTGGGTTGGGATGCTTTCTTAATGTACACTTACCCTTTATATAAAACTCTCTTATAAGATACAAGTGTCTATGAATTTTGTTTCTCTAATCTACCCAGACTAATAGACTCTTTCTTTGGGATCTTTTTTACTCTGTCCTAACCTTGCAGTGCCTCTCTGCAGACTGTTTCTGTGAAACAGCCCTGTTTCCGGGAGAATTGCATCCATCTCTTTTCTTTACATGTGTTTTGGTAAGTACAGGCCTACAGAGGTGGTGAAGCAAGCTCTTCAGATTGACTACAATGATTTCAAATCAGGTTTTCACAAGTCCCTTCTTCATTCATGCTCCATTCAAAATTTCCTGTGAATATCATTCATTTGCACAGTCTTTATGTAGTGACTGATGTATGAAACCATGAACAGAACCTAGTATCTGCATTTACTCCTCATACATTCACTAAAGTGCAGGTTCATTCATTCATACACCTTTATTTCTCTGTACGGGTCAGCCACTTGTGAACAGAGAATTTATGTATTTAATCGGTGACCTTTTGTCACTTTCTTCCCATCAGTCCAGGAAGTAAGGAAAGACTGAGGGAAATCAAGTGAGGATAAGAGGAAAGAGGTGTTTACCAAGGTCTGAGAAAAGTCCAGGAACATTTCAAGGACGAATGAGGCACCCTATCCTAGCAAAAACTGGGCACTTACTGCCTCTGGTCTGAAAGGGCAAGGATCCACAGCTGGTTTCTTGGGAATGCAGTCCGACCCTGATGAGCTGCACAGGCTGGAGTCAGGGCATACATAATTTCTCTTTCTCTCTTGCAGTGCTCTGGCCACTGTCGGAACTGAATGAGAAACAGGATACAAGACAGAGCCAAGAGGCACTCCAGACTGATCAACCTTCTGGGACACAGCAGGATGAAGATGGGTGGAGAGTGGGCCTAAGTCACATAGAAAGGATATTCTATGTATTCTGAGGTTCAAGGGGCCATTAACCCTGCTTCCTTCTTTACCCTCTTTCCTTAGAGGGAACCACCGAACAGGAATGGTAAGGAAAATCCTGCCCAGGACACTGTTGTCCTAAGAGAAAGCCACACAGGACAGGACAGACCTGGCAGTCCACGAATCTTTGCATTCTGCCTCTTGGAGGCAGTCTTCAGCTGTTTGTCCCCTTACTGGAGCCGTACTCGAGAGGAGTGCTTCTTTCCTCGACAGTATTTCACAACACCATGTGTCTGGGCCGCCACATTGCACATACCTTGATGACACAAGTTGTGCCTGGCTTCTTGAATGCTTCCGGAGCCTTGCCACGGTCTGGCATAAGATAAGTGCTGAATGCAAGGATCAAGGAATGCCTGAATATTTCAATGAGAGCGTGCTAAGAATTTAGTCTGTTGAAGTTTTTCAATAATCCCACAAGGTGGCAGCAGCTACCAGGGTTCATTTTTCTTATGGGTGGAACTTGAGTACCCACTTTCATTGACTGTCTTATAAATAAGATATTTTTTTACAGAAAACGATTTGTTTTGTTTTAATTATTAGTTTACCTTTGTAAGTTTACTATTATATAACATGGCTATTTCAAGTTGTTACAAAACTTTCTGAATGTTTACCCTCCGTCTCTGCGTTTGTCTCACTGGTAACAAACATTTCGTGGTCCAGTTCTGGTTCCTATTGTTGTTCACTGATAGGTGCTGTCCAGTTGGTTCTGTCCCATAGCAACCGTATGCACAGCATAATGAAATGCTCCCCACCCCCATCCTTGTGCCATCCTCACAATTGTTCCTATGGCTAAGCCCATTGTTGCAACCACTGTTCAATCCGTCCTCTTGAGGGCCTCCCTATTTTGACTGCCCCTCTACTTAACCAAGCATGATGTTCTTCTCCAGGAACTGGCCTTTGCTCACAGTGTGTCCAAACTGACGAAAAGGAGTCTCACAATCCTTGCTTCTAAGGAGCACGTCTGGCCACATGTCTTCCCAGACAGATTTGTGTTTGTCCTTTTAACAGTTCATGGTGTCTTCAAAATTCTTTTCCAGCATCACAATTCTTAGACCATCTTCCTTATTCAATGTCCAACTTTCACATGCATATGAGATGATGGAAAATATCATGGCTTGAGTCAAGCACATCTTAGCCCTCAAAGTGTGAGGTCTTGTGCAACAGGTTTCTCTAATGCAATACGTCTTTTGATTACTTGACTGCTGCTTTCATGCGCATTGATTGTAGATCCAAGCAAGACAAAAAATCCTTGACAACTTCCACCCTTTCTTCATTTACTGGTCCAGTGGTGAAGATTTTGGTTTGCATTACACAGAGTTGTAATCCGTACTGAAGGTTGCAATCCTTGATCTTCATCAGCTAGTGCTTCAGCTCCTCACTTTCCGCAAATGAGGTTGTGTCACCTGCATATTGCAGGTTATTAATAAGCCTTCCTCCAATCCTGATGCTGAATTCTTCATATAACCCAGTGAGTTAGTTAATTGTGCCAACCTGGCCGATAATCACATGTGGGGCTAATTGAAAGGCAGAGGGATAAATGGGTGGTGAGCCTCGCCTTTCTAGTTCTCGGGTCTCTTGCTTTGTGATGGTCGCACCAGGGTGCAGCTGCCTTAGCAGCTCCCTGCTTCAGCTTGCAAGATTGACTTCCTACAAGACATCCCCAAGGAGAAGCCGCATAGACCTATCCCGATGCAGCCCTGGGTGCTGGAGCAGCCTTGTGGAGACCCCTGCTAGTGCTGAGATGCTTGTTCGTTCACTGACTCAGCTTTCCTCCTGCAGTCGGCATCATTGCCTCTGTTTTGTGAGGTGGAGGACTTTGTGGACTGGTGTTGGGTTAATGGGTTAATGTTGGACTTGTGGGCTTGGGCAGCATTGGGTTGGGATGTGTTCGTGATGCACACTTTCTTTACATAAAACTCTCTTATATATGAGTTGCTGTGGATTTGTTTCTCTAAAGTACCTAGACTAATACACCCAGCTTCTCTGATGATTTGCTCAGCATCCAGATTGAATAAATATAATAAGAGTATACAACCATGGAGAATCATAGCCTAGCCAGGTTGACACAAACACTACCCATCTTATTTCCTGTTTAATCTTTCGAGTTGCTGTTGTCAATTTGATCCCATGTAGATCTTACAAAAGTATCCTACTCTGAGCAGATCTTTTTAGTAATAAAAGGAAGCAATTATTCAGTTTTAAGATGACTTTTGGGATATTTTGGTTTAAAATGTATAACTTATTTCAGAGAAATAGCTTAAGAGGTTTATCCATCACCCATGCTCCAGAAAGTCTAGGGTCCATGAGAATTTGAAATCTGTTCTTCATTCCCCCTTTTTAGGGTTCTTCTTTAAGATTCTTCTATCTTTGATCATAACATTCAGTAATGACAGCTGGGTACCCTCTTAGTTCTTCTGATCTCTTGGCAAAGGTAACAGTCTTGCATGGAGGCAAGTGCCCCACATTTTATACACTCCTCCTATTCCTCCTCCTCTCTCTGTTAGTCCAAGTGAATAGAGACTACCTGTGTGCTTTGGCATAGTGGTTATGCATTTCACTGTATGGACCACAATAACCTATGAATAACCTTGGGAAGAATGTGAGTTCCAGAACACTTCATTGTGCTCATTCGGAACTTGTATATGGATCAAGAGTCAGTTGTGTGAATAGAGCAAGGGAATACTGCAAGGTTTAAAAGTAGGAAAGGTGTGTGTCAAGATTGTATCCTCTCCCCACATTGTTCAATCGGTATGCTGAGCAAATCATCAGAGAAGCTGGATTATATGAAGAGCGGTTCAGTATCAGGATTAGAGGAAGGCATACTAACAACCAAGGATTTTGTCTTGCTTGGATCCACAACCAAGGATCATGGAAGCAGCAGTCAAGAGATCAAAAGACATATTGCATTAGGTAAATCTGCTGCACAGGACCTCTTTAGAGTATTGAAGAGCAAGGATGTTACTTAGAGGACTGAAGTGCTCCTGACTTAAGCCATGGTATTTATTCTCCATTGCATCGTGTGCATGTGAAAGTTGGACATTGAAGATGGAAGACTGTAGAACAGTGGTTCTCAACCTGTGAGTCATGACCCCTTTGGGGGTCGAATGACCCTTTCACAGGGGTCGCCTAAAACCACCGGAAAACACATGCTTCCGATGATCTTAGGAAATGAGACACTGCTCTCTATCTGTCTCCAGGGGGGTCCGCCCACATGCGGATACACCCACATATGAGTACCCGGCATGAAGACTGTTACCTGTGCTACACCATGCTTCAAGACAAAATTTCATTTATTTGTCATTAGAAATAAATATTTTACAATATATAATTACATATTGTTTGTGATTAATCACTATGCTTTAATTATGTTAAATTTGTAACAATGAAAATACATCCTGCATATCAGCTATTTACATGGCAATTCATAATAGTAGCAAAATTACAGTGATGAAGTAGCAACGAAAATAATTTTATGGTTGGGGTCACCACGACATGAGGAATGGTACGAAAGGGTCGTGGCATGAGGAAGGTTGAGAACCACTGCTGTAGACGAATGGATGCATTTGAATGGTGAAGCTGGGGAAGCATATTGAAGGTACCATGGACTGCTGAAAGGACAAACCAACTGATCTGTATTGGCCAGAGTAAGGCCAGAGGTAAAGGTGACAAGACTTCATTTTACATACTGTGGACATATTTCCAGGAGAGACCAAGCCCTGGAGGAGGAGCTCATGCTTGCTAGAGTGGAGGGGTGGCGAAATGAGAAAGGCTCAACGAGATGGATTGGCAGAGCGGCTGCATCAATGACCTCGGGCAGAGAAATGCCTGTCGGGATGGCCCAGGATCCTGCAGTGTTTCTGTTGTGCATACGGCCGCTGGGGCCACAGCCTACTGGATGGCACCTAACAACGGCTACAACAACAATCTCCGAGCTCCATTCACGTTGTAGCATGTACCTGTAAAGTAAATTGGCGACGGAGGGGAAAGAAAAGGGCGAAGACAGAAAATAATTTTAAAGCTTTATTTCTGAGTTCCCGGGCGAGGTTCATGGGTCTCTAGTCTGGGCTGGAGAAGTCAACCCTCCCTCAGGGAGGGGAAGGGTTTATAGCACTGGCCTGAGGTAAAAGCAGTTGGGGAGTTTTCCACTGCAGTTTGGCTGTTTTGCAAGGTGGGAAGTTAGTAACAACGTAACGTTCTCTGGAACTGCCAGCCACCTGGTCCGGGTTTGAAAGGTCCTAATTTGGGGGTTTTCCCCACACAGTCTTCAGGGTATTATTCCACTTGCCGGCCCAACCAACTCCTGTTTCTGCCTAACAGTCCTAAGACCTCATTTCTCGTACTGGCTGAGTAGTATTCCTTTACGCATGTACCATCTGTTGATGGACATTTAGACTGTTTCCACCTTTTTGGCTAGTCTGAATAGTGCTGCAGTAAACATTGGTGGTACGCATGTCTCTTTTTATACCTCTACTTTCTAACCTTAGGGATATATATCTAGGAGCGATGTTGTTGGGTCATATGGTAGTTCTTTTAATGAACTGCCACAGCATTTTCCGTAATGGCAAGAGCATTTTGTGTTCCCACCAGCAATACATAAGAAACCATTTATTTTTAAAGTACTATATTAAGAGTAGACTAATTTACTAATGATAGTTAAGATAAATATGAAACTCAATATCTACCAACACTAATTTTATTATATATGGCACTGTAAATTTTACTTCAAATAACATCTTGACAATGTGTTTTCAATTACTGGGAGAACAAAAGGCTATTTGTGTGTTTTCTGAGGCCCTTACGGTGTCTGGTTGTGTTGTCTGCTTACCCAAATCCCTCTTTCTGTGGGTCTGCGACAGCTTCCTGACCTCACAGGTAGAACGTTTGACATGGGTCTCGTTTCCCAGGTGGCTCGCTTCTTTGGCTCCATTGCTGCATTTGCTTTTAAAAATTGTTCAGAAAGCTTGCCTGGATTTTCGTTACATTTGTGCTGCAGCAAAGACCAGCCAGACTCATCAATAAATTCACTAAGTTCCGATGTAGTTAGTATACATTTTGACTTGCAACTTTAAATAGAGCGAGTTGCAAGAAATTAAGGAAGGAGAAGCAGGAGAGAAAGATGGAAATGCACAATAAAAGGGTATTTGTATAGTCAAGGGGTCATGAGTTAGTTAATTGTGCCAACCTGGCCGATAATCACATGTGG